CGCGGGCGCCTCAGCAGCCGCCAGCATCTCTGGAGCCTCTCACGAGCGAGCAGGAATGGGCGTCATGGGTTCCTCCCGAACCCGTCCGAGTGCGTGTTTGTAAGTGGATTGACGATGATCGGGTCCGCTTACCAAAACATATACGCGCATCTTTAGCTCACATATTGGGCTTTTCTTTGTTTTGTGTCCATTATTCACGGAGTCAAACAAAGATATGCATGTAGATAGCTGAACTTTACTGAATAGTACGAAAGTTAAATACTGTCTTTTTTATCTTGCTGCGAGCATGGCTGTAAATTTGGTATATATATATATATATATATATATATATATATATATATATATATATATATATGTGTGTGTGGTGTGTGTGTGTGTGTGTGTGTGTGTTGTGTGTGTGTGTGTGCGTGTGTGTGTGTGTGTGCGTGTGTGTGTATGTGTGTGTGTACTTTAGACATAGGTATATAAGATTTTTGTTTCGCGAGAGATCAGACTGTATAGGATAAAATCATGTTGGGGTTTTAGGGGTGAGGTTGTATAGGTGTCAGCTTCCCGTGAGCTGCCCGGTCCCGTTTCCTGGGAGCGGCCGTCACCCCACGCTATGCCCAAGCTGACGCAGTTCCTGGAAGCGTCCGCTGCGGGCAGGTAAACTTGGCAGGGTGGGGCAGGAAGGCCGGTTCGATATCGGCCTGGTGTTTGTTGATGCCCGCTGTGGGACGGCGGCGCAGCGCCGCGTTTTCGCCGCCACTCCTGTCAGTGTTTACCCAGCCCCAGCCCCTGCCGCCTCCCGGCCGGCCCACAACAGGGCCTCTGCGAGCCCTCGTGACGCAATCAAACCCGCAGCGGCCGGCCGGTGACGGCTTGTTTGGAGCGCGGCCGAGACTGCCCGACGTCGCGCGACGACGGACGCCAGAGGTCGCACTGGACGGACGGGGTCACGCAAGGCGCGCTTGCCTGTCGACGCCCGCGACGCTGCCTCAAGCGCGCTGGCGCCGGCCGGAGCCGGCCGGGGGCCGCGGCGGAGCGCACGCCAGAGGGAGGCGCCCGGTAACAGAGGGCCCGCCCCGGCCGGGCGCGACATGCTGCGACGCAGGCGGAGGTGGAGGCGCCCCGCCAGCAGCGCCGGCGCCGGGGGGCCGGCCGGGCCGGCTCGGCGGCTCCGCCCAGCTCGGGGGGCCGCGTGCGCGGCTGGCGGCCGTGGCAGTGACTGAGTTACGGACCTGGGGTGAGACGGGGCGGCGGCGGCGGCGGCCGGGAGGGGGAGGGGGGAGGGAGGGGCACCTCGACGGTACCTGACTGACAGCGAGGCCGGCCGTCTGGGGCAGGTCGCGGTCTAGAGGTGTTGAAGGCAGAACGCCCGTCGGCCCGAGGCACCGGTCCAGACGCGATGTTTTGACATGTGGCAGGCCTGTGTTTGAAGCGTGCGTTAAGTATCCCGCCACGAGCGCGGAATATATCATTTGCAACCCACCGCCCATACAACTCATTTTTCCCCCTGCCCTCAACTCGCTTTACATGATAGGGGAAGTGGTTGACAAGCTGCCCGGTGACTATGTGATGCAAGCCATCATGGTTTAGAGAAAACAAGGCGAGACTATGTCAAATTATGCACTTCATTTTCCTTGCTGAAACCTTAACATTTTCAAGGCACAAATTGCCTCTGTCGCTTATAGATAACTTAAAACTAAAAACTAGCCTCCCAGCAGTATCAATCATCTGACACCTTGATGTTTATTTTAAATAGTGCACTGTTGATTTCGGTCTCAAATTCGGATAAAATGCAATAAGTCGCAAAATTCACTTTCCCTTGGCTGGCTTGCCCTCTCCAGATTAGTTCAAGTTTTACTCCGGCACCAACAGCAACGCGAATTTTGCGATTTACCGTATTTCATTTGCATTTGAAGCCCAAGTCAACAGTGTGCCGTGTAGTTTTGAGATCCGCATTCTGGGTCCGATATTGATAAAGGAAAGATTTGGGTGAAAAAACACCTTGGTATTGTCAAGAAAGGCCTTAAGATCCTGGTTATCACGCATTGTGGCTTGGAGTTCCTGCGCTGAGAATAGCCGATTTGGTATACACCGGGACGGCACTGGTTAAGTGATCTTATTAAGCAAGCATTGGTTATGTTCAGAAAGCTCGATTTTTAAGATCGAATATTTTTCGATATCACCAATGCTTTGCATCGTCGTTTAAGCAGTACCTTGTGGTGCACTGAAGCTCGAAGAATGTTCTGCATAAGAATTTCAAACTCATGACATAGCAACATCATTACATGATGCGTAGGAAAATTTAATGTTGGGAGATGTATCCACTGGAGCACTTAAAAGCGGGTTGTTGTTACATGCTATAGATGTCGACTTCGCGAAGCCACGTGCTGTCTCACATAGCAAACGGTCCATATTGGGCTGCTGTGCTTGCATCGCTGCTCTCGCGACTCCCTCAGGCTGTTTGGCCCCGGTTAATGTTCCTGTTAATCATGGCGTTTGTGTGCATTGTGGTACGTGAGACGCTCACTGGGTAGAAGGGGCAAACAGCCTGTGTTTCGGCTCGAAGTGCGCTGGCTACCATGCGAGTGTAAGGCCAACGACCCAGCTACTGCGTGCACAGCAAATGTTTGGTCGCTGGTTCACGTTGTAAGCACCGGACAGCACCGATTCGGCAAACCAGTCCCGGTTGCTGGGGGTCAATAGTTGTCAACATTTGTATTCTCGTCACCCCAGCGATACCCTGTCCCGGTCAAATGCACCGGTCAGGATGCGAGCAGCCGCGGCCACGCCACTGACAGCCTCCTGACCTCTGTGACCCGAGCTGGTTAGACACGCTAGTTCAGCTGACCCACACACGCCCGCGCACCACAAAAACGCGCCACTCGAAGTCGCCGGCACGGCGCGCACGCGTTTTTGGCGCGTGTTTTACGCCGCGGCACGGCGCGCCTTTTGTTTCGCTCCGTATTTGTCCCGTCTGCGGCGGGTGGCGCCCACACGTGAGCGCCTGCCGTCCCATTTTGCCGTCCTCGCTGCTGGTAAACACCGTCAGCGGCGCAGCATGGAGCAAACGTGTTTTTGTAGGACAAAACAGCGAGTGTCGAATGGGGAAGGCTCGCAGCAGAGCGGTCTGCTCTTGGACAGCTGGAACAGTTCGGGAGCTATCGGCTGGAGCCAGCGGGAGCCAGCGGGAGCCATCGGCAGTGCGGAAGTCGGGAAGGAGGCCTGCATGGTTGGAGGGAAAGGCTCCGATGCTTGTGCTGGGATGCTCCGGTGGTCGGGGCTTAACGTCACGACAAGTCTTAAGTTCACGATAGAGATATTTAGTTCACGATAGAGGTCTTAAGTTTGCGATGCGTGGTTGTAACAGGTGCGCAACCAAGACTTTTTATGCGGGGGGTCCCAGTACTGTGATGGTCCTCTTCACACCCTGAGAGCAAATGTCTTAACTAAAACCCATTTAGTGTTTTCGCACGACCAGTGCGAATCCTCAAACACGACGATAAAAGGTAATTCATCAAGACCTAAACTCAGTAGAAACGAATGCCCTGGAAATATGGGGCACGAGGGGTTCCCTAATCGGGGTGAGAGGCTCTGATCGCCCTGGTGCCTGAAGCATTCCCATGATCGAGATGGCTGGTGTTCCTGTGGCCTGCAATGGCCTCACAATGGCCTACAGTCGGGATCAGAGGTAGCGATGGGCAATATGAGAGGTTCCAACGGCTTGGTTAGGTGATGTTCCGGTGATCGGAACCAGATGTTTGGAGCAATCAATGTTGGGATGGATGGGATGGGAACCTAGAAAGGACGGGACATGCCGTTCTAATGTCCCAACGGGCGTAACGGAAGTTGTGGTGATTGAGAAAGTGGTTCTGATGGTCGGAATGCGTGGTTCTGATGGTCGGAATGAGTGGTTCTGATGGTCAGGATGAGTGCTTCTGAAAGTCGGGATGAGTGGTTCTGAAAGTCGGGATGAGTGGTTTTGATGGTCGGCCGAGTGGTTCTGATGGTCGGGATGAATGGTTCTGATGGTCGGGATGAGTAGTTTTGATGATCGGGATGAGTGGTTCTGATAGTCGGATGAGTGGTTCTGATGGCCGGGTTGAGTTGTTCTGACGGTCGGGATGAGTGGTTTTGATTTTCGGGACGAATGGTTCTGATGGTCGGAACGGATGGTTCTGATGGTCGGAACGGATGGTTCTGAGAGTCGGGATGAGTGGCTCTGATGGCCGGGTTGAGTGGTTTTACTAGTCGGGGTGAGTGGGTCTTATGGTCGGGACGAGATATTCACACTGTCGGGATGGCAGCTGACAGTGACGACAAACAGTGATATAGGGGAAGAAAATATAATGGCGTCGGGGGCGTCGGAGTTGTCGGATGTTGGTGTCGGGGATGAAAATCCGTACTTGTCAGCATGTGCAGTCTTCATGATGGCGATTAAGCTTCCCATGGTCGAGGGGAAAGGGATTGCGATAGTCAGGAGCAGCTTGTAATGGTCTGGATATGGCCCTTTAAACGTGTTTGGTCTCTGCTTCCCTACGTGCTTGCTTGGGCCGTGTGTCTTGCATTTTGATCGTTGGCTGGTGAACCGCAAAAAGCAAAACTCGCCATCATTTTCAGGTGTTACAATGATTTATGAAACCTAGCATATGCCTGTAGCTTTGGTCAGACTTAAGATGCCATCCGGCAAGTATTTATTGCGTTCCTCACAAGCTATCTGTATTGCGCTCGTATAACAGAGATCATAATATTTCGTACTGCAACTTTTATTAGCTGTACGTGCAACATAAACCTTTGAGCCGTTTTAAGCGGTTTCCATTTGCGAAACCAGCCTTGCATGTAGCGTGTTGTCACTTATTGATCCAGTATCCGATCGCATTCGAACGCCTCTTATACCATAATTAGGGTGCGATTAGTTGCCACCACTCGCAGAATACAACTTTGCCTGATCTGTATCGCACCGCTCAATGCATTCTCGCAGTGCTGACCGACCCAACCTATCGGTCTTTTCGCAGACGCCCGAGTGATGCAGTAACTACAGCTTACTGGTGACACTGATAGATGCCAGCACTGCGCGGCAACCGCGGCGCGCTCCCGCCGCCGCCTGGCCCGCGCCACGGTCGCGAGCTTGACAACCTGATCCGCGACCTACAGCGACTCGACCTCTCACAGTGTCTGGACCAGCTGTACTCGGACATCAGCCAGCTGAACCACATGGAGCAGCAGCTGGGCACGTGGTCGGGCCTGTATGTGCGCTGCCCAGACCCCGAGCCGGATGAGCTGGGGCACGACCCGGCGGACAAGAAGAGCTCCTCCGGCTATAGTACCGAGAGCGCCTCGCCGCCAGAGAGCCGTGATGTCAGTGACGATTGTAGCGGGTGGTGGTGGCGGCAGCGGCGGCGCGGGGCGCGGGCGGCGGCGGCGGGCTGTAGCGGCGCTTGTCTACCCCGTCTGCTGCGAAACGGAAGTGAAGCGGCGGCTCGGCGACGACGCTGGTTCACCGTGCGGCGCAGGCGCGCTGGCTCGGCCGCGCCACCGCACTGCGGTTGTCCTTCTGCCCGGCAGCGGCCAGCACGCCACGCTCCCAGTGTCCGCCGCGCTCGCCCAAGACGCTGCGTTTTGCCGCCACGACCGAGCTGATCGCGCCTGACTCGCCGTCATGCCGCCAGGTGGCAGCAGGCACGCCGCGGCCGGGCATCCTGCGCGTCGGCCGCCAGGAGGCGCGGCCGGCGGCGGAGCGGGTCGGTCGGGTCGTTTCCGAACTCTCGCGGCTCGAGGCTGAGCTGAGCGGCTCGGCCGGCCGGGCGTACGGCACGGGCCAGTTCGTCAGCTCGCCTCGCCGCCCGACGGCCCTGGAGGAGCCGTCACCGTCACCTGCGCCTCTCGACCCGCTGGTGCTGGTCCGCGACGGCACCGACGCCGCCTCGCCAGGGCCGGACGAGGGCGCCGCCGCCGTGCGACCGGCGCTCGAAGCGAGCGACAGCTCAGCGCACGACCTGGTGCGCTGGCGGCTGGCGAAGACGCCGCCGCTGCGGGCGCCGCGTCGTCGGCTGGCCTGGCTGCTGGGCTGCACCAGCTGCCGCCGCCCCTGCGCGCCTCCCCTCCGTGTACCTGAGTCGGCCGGCCGCCGCCGCCGCGCCGCCGCCCACCGCCTTCACTGTTATGTACAGGTGCAACCTGTGCAAGGCCTGCTTTCCGGAGCACCTGATGCTCGTGGCGCACGTGCACGAGCGGCACCTGCGCGTGCAGGTGCGTCCCAAGTACAGCTGCGGCCTGTGTCCCGCGCGCTTCTACGCCAGCCGATTCCTGGCCAAGCACTGCGCGTATCAGCACGTCTGGATGGGGGACAAGCGCACGCCGCAGTGCCTGAAGACCAGGCGTGTCCTGTGAGCTGCGAAGCACGCTCCGAAGCTGCGAAGCACGCCGCGAAGCTGCGAAGCCGCCCAGACCCAGTCCGAGCGGCGCGATCCTGCAAGTACAAACCGCCGCCGACGGCGCCTCATCGGGCGCTCAGTCCGCGAGCTGCGCGAGCGGCGCCTGTCATCGTGGAGACCAAACTCTGCGGGAAGAGGACTCTTCCAAACACAATGTACCAAACACCGCACAAGAGGACTCTTCCAAACACAATGTACCAAATACCGCACAGTGAACCAGTGGACGAGTGCTGCTGATCAGGATGACATTATCGCTGTGATGACGTCGTACCTGACTCCTGACCTCTTGTGGGATAGAGCCCCACTTGAACAGTTCGTCAAAAGATAGGTAAAGAAACGTGTGTTGTGACCTTGCTCTGATGCCGTCTTTTCTTGCTCAGGATTTCCTGCTCACGTCCTAAAAGTAGTTGACACTCGGGGGTGTGTGTTCCGTATTTATTCTCTATAGAATTGTGTCACATCACACCACTTTATTTACACCATCAACGTTAACACGATCAACATCAGTCATCGAATGTTTACACCTAGTAGCAAGTCATACGTTCCAAAATCCGATTAAATTTTCGGCAAATTCGACAAATTATTTACGAATTACGACAAATTCCTCTCTTATAGAAGTCACCTGTTGCCCTGTCCAGTGCTGCCAACAGTCTTGACAGCCAAAGGTCCAATCTACCATAATAAAGAGCACGTTATTTGTCAGAGCTGCCGCTCGTTGCCTGGTGGTGTACATATCATATTTTGCAACAGTCAAGACATGGGTCATAAACGAGCGGTTTGAGCCGCCAAAAATATGTTTTAACGGCTTGAGCCACCAAAAATATGGTACTGATCGTTATCATTATGAATTTTTCAAAATGAACGGGGTACTTTTTTATTGGTACTTTTCAAAATGCACAGGGCATTTTATATTTACAGCCAATTACGAAGAAAGTGTTAGAAAAATCGCAACTATTTTATTTTAACTGAAATTGAGATTGAACCTGGAAGCGCTGTGCAGCGAGTGGACGTACGCGCCATGCCCGCATTCTAAACGGATGGTGAGTGGGTAGACGTTTCGATATATTTGAGTCATCGGCCGCCGGCTCTATTCGCACTAGTATTCAACAGCCTGTTATGTTACCAATTTAAACATTTCATATTTTTATAGGCTGCGATTACCTTCAACCAGGTAATGCAGGTGAGCGAGAAAACTAGACTGCTGCTCCCAGTGATCGGGCTGTGTGCGCTGCCGTGTAATGAAATGACAAAGTGTGTGCAAGGATTATAAAGCCCAGATAATTACAGTCGGTACCGCAACGTAGTCTGACGTCACCTGGACAACGAATTATGTTATCCTCAAAAACTTCTGTCACAGATCGAATGTTTTTTTCCCCACATACTTTTCTGGTGAGTGTGCCGTGCGTTCTCAAATGATAATTTATTCATATTGTAATGTTGCAATGGGGAGGTGACTTTTGCATGTAAAATATTACCTTCCTTGATGTGTTTACATGTTTCCAAAATGATGTATTCGCTTTATGTAGTTCTGCCTTTAAAGCACATCCCCATATGTGTCACATGTGCTGAATAAACGGTTTCCTTATTGTTTTGGGACGACCGTAAACCAGGTGCGATATGATCGCCTGCCTTTGATTGGCCATTTTTCCGCTCAGGCTTGAAAGAAATGATGCATAAGTCGGCACATAGCATCATGTCACCATACCATCCATCGCGAAGTCAGGGTTTAAACGGCGTCCATTCTGAAATACTTGCGTTGCTCTCGATCGTTCATTTGACAGAAGTGGGCATGGCCTAAAAACATCTAACATTTCACGACTTCTGGAAAATAATGACTACACCCGGCCTAAGAAGATCCCACGTTGCTGCGTACCCGTTTATAACGAAATCGTTTGGGAAACCGCATGTCCTTTCCATAGGACTCAACGCTGAGGTCAATCATTTAATATTTACAGAGCAAATTTGTTGGCGCATTGGAGTGCAGGGACTTGACCCCCTCCTTCGCCTTGCTACATGCCTGTCCTGACCTCTTGTCAGAGGTGGCTCAACAGCTTTTTAAGCACAGTTCTCATGACATGCTGCAGATGAGACGATACCAGCCAAGTGCAAGGCTACTACCCAGGGCGCAAGATGGAGAGGATCGTGGAGCCGCGACTTCGAGAGCCAGCTCCGCGCGACGGCAGCGCCACCTCGCTACCAGTCACTCATCCACCACTCGCCAGATTTCGGAAGCAGCCTCTTTGGAGCGGAGTCATTTACGGCACTTGTCAAAGCGCGACGGCGCGGTGCGAAGCGGTGTTATAATGATAGGCTCGCGCTGTGTCTGCGCATGGGTCAGAAGGCAAGAAGTTGGCACCCCTCCGTACAATCTGACCAGATCCATTGGTGACCTGTAACGCTTCACTGAATGTGCCATGGTGTGATTGTGTCACAGCGTCTGATCGGGCTGTGGAATTTGGCGGATGTGCGGAGAAGGAAGCTCTTGCGTTCTGCCGCGTATGCTGAGTATCAGGAGTCATGACAGAAATACATTGATTAGCAAGAACGCCTGAAGTTCCACCTTTAGGTTCCCGTGCCGCGGTGCTGACTCGGCATCTAAGATCACTTAAACGTATTTCTGGCAAGCGGCGGACGGAATTCCACCGCGCCTAACTTTTACGGTGGGTTTTCCGAAGCCGTTTGGGGCATGTCGTTGAAATTTAGGCGCAGACTGCCCCGTCCACGTCACCCAATCGAAGGATGTAATGATGGCAGATCGGTGTGAGGCGGTCGACAAGATACTAGGTTGCTCAGAATGTCAGTATGGACAACGGAACAGGCCGTCGTATCCATCACGATGGTTAAATTATGATGGGACAAAACATGGGCAAACGTCCTCCGTCCAGCCACCACCAAGCCCGTCCATGAAGGTGTCACATAAAGTTTTGCGATGGTCCTCTGAGGATCGTCAGACTAGTTGAGAAAACCACACAAGTTCAGTTTCAGTGTAATCAAAGAACGCTTAGAGAATGCGCGTCGACTATTTGCACCGCACTCAGTGCTCGTAGCAATGAGTCTCCTAGGAGGCGTATAACCACGGCAACATCATATGAACTGTATTCTTTGCGTACGCCGTACATCAACCTTGATCGCCATAAACGCATGAGGGTACCTTTCAACAAGATGAATGTCGTCCCTCAAGGGATGGTGCCGGTCGCGTCCCCGACTGCCCGGGCCACACATCGTTATAGCCTTGGGGGGGGGGGGGGGGGGAAGGGGGTTGGACGGGTTCTGTGCGGGCTCCTGGCGTTGGCGACTTGGCGCTCCGGAAGCCGCACCCATGCTTTATGCCGAACGGCTGTCGGCTGCGGTACAGTGCCTACCAATTGTGTAGGATGTAAGCAATATTCGCGCCGCGATCTTGTTGCATGTCGTAGTTGGGATTCTGGTGGGTCGGTGTTCTCTACCCATGGCCCTAACTGTCTGGAACTCACCAAGAATTGTTTCCACGGTGCGAAAATGGAAAGTGTTTTTCGTGGTACACTGGCTACCGGTTACGTGCGGGCACCGGGCGGGCAGGCAACCCGCGGTACACTGGCGACCGGTTACGTGCGGGCACCCGACGGACGGGAGGCCCGTGGTACACTGGCTACCGGTTACGTGCGGGCACCAGGCGGGCAGGTAACCCGCGGTACACTGGCTACCGGTTGCGTGCGGGCACCGGGCGGGCAGGTAACCCGCGGTATGCTGGCGACCGGTTACGTGCGGGCGCCGGGCGGGCAGGTAACCCGCGGTACACTGGCGACCGGCCACGTGCGGGCACCAGGTGGGCGGCTGCCGGAGGGCGAGCTCAGTACACCCCGGACATTTGACTGTGCTCCATTACAGCGCGCGTTGCGTGCGGGCTCCACCATCGATCCACTATGGTAATGCTCCGGACAGCCACCCAAACAATCGCGCCTTAATATTCATAAGCGCAACACGTGAGAGGTCAATGGTCAAAATGGGGAAATGGGTCAGTGTGACATCAACAGGCCGCCGAAACTGCGGGGCGTTGCCCGTCCTTCTCGGTCAGTGAGACTCTCCAGCAACGTAGAATTTGCCCGTAATACGTTTGGACGCATATGGGTCTTATTCCTTTCGACCCGTGATTTGGTGGAGCGTGTCCTTTATATGCAATTATGGTTAGGCATAATACTGTATTACGCATAGTTATGCATGCTGTCGTATGGTGCGTCTGTATGCATAGTGCACCTGTAACGATTACAAGTTCCACCTGAGATCTAGTTGCGTGAGAATGAGAAAACAGCTTGATCGTGTCTGTGGGACATTTGTGGGACATTCAGCAATCTGTGGTACCTACTCCAGTTATTTTTAGTTTGGAGGGTTAAGAAATAATTATTCCTAATTCCGCAGTGAAAAAATGAGTATCGTCTGAGTAAGCTTCGTTTTTACTTACCTGCATATTTGACTGAAATTGGGCAGGAAGCGCTCGTGAAAGACTTTGCAAAGTTCCAAATAACAACAAGGTTGATTTGTCCGTCGCATCTTGGCCCTAAAACACCTAAGTTCCAAATTAAAGATCCAGATCTAGTCGTTCCTACAAGCACACCCACTGGTATTCACAATGCGACTGAGAAAAACGAACCCCGGCAAATATTCAGATTCGCATGAAATTGCGTAAACCCTGTACCCATTCTTTGTCGTACTGGGTTATTCATTAGCTGTTTAGTATGGCAAAAGCTTATGCCTGAAGTCAGAAATAAGCATCGGAAATTTGTGAGACTTGTCTGTCAAAGTTGTCCAGTCTTATCGGTCATCAAACGAGGAAAAGACTGATCACCAACAGCAGTTAGTCAATCCCTACGAGTAGCGAAGATAAAAACATTATCTTTTTTGCGTGTTGTATTCTGTCGTAATGCTGTAAAACAAACTGCTGTTGTAAAAGCTCCACCAGGCTGGTACTTGCCACCCGTT